GTGACCAAAGCGACTTGGAACTGTCTTCAGTGTCGGAAGGAAACTGACTCAAGAGTTTTATTGTGATGCTGACAAAGTAAGTGTGAAGCTGCTGTCTAAATAAACAGACGCTACTGTCAGTTAAAAAAAAACCAGAATAATGAATGCAAAAGGTGATTTTTTTTCTGACACACATTTTTATTAAATTGACAGAGATGATTCGGTGTTACCTTTTATGACTTGGCAGTTTCTCTTACTTGATGGCATCACAGAGGGAAGAAATAGTATAAGAAGCGTAGAAGTCCTTTAAAAAAAGTCCTTTAAAAAGCTTTAAATCAGGTATTTTAATATTTGGGGATCTCTGTATAGCATCTCTGACCCGTCAACCGAAAACCCTCGCTAGATTATGTGTACTTTGCAAATAACTGAAAATCACACAGATACAGCGCGTAGGTAGATGATCACCCAGGCTGGAAAGGAAGCAGCCGGCCCCGAGTGACAAGTGACGTGGCTGTTGCTGGGTTTCAGGAGCTGGTCTCGGGGTGGCCTTCCGGGTGGCTCCCTGCAGGGTGGGCTGTCTGCTTGGAACAGGAGGGCCCAAGGGAAGGTGATGTCATGCTTACCTGCTCTCCAGGTCTCAGCATTGTCATCTGTGAAATGGGGCAGATGGACACCAGCCCCTGGCGCCGGAGGAACGCACCCGTGTCCCACTCCCCGTGCTCAGTGGATGCTCCGCGGGGACAGGGCTCGTCCCAGCCGGCTGGGGCAGCTGTGACAGGACACCAAGGACTGGGAGGGAGATGTATACACAATGAACACTTACTGCTCACGGCGCAGGAGGCTGGAAAGTCCACGAGTGAGGTGCAGACTCCTTGCCCAGGTGAGGCCCCGCTTCCTCACAAAAGGTCACCTTTTTGCTATAGCCTCACCTGCCAGAAGAGACCGGACAGCTCTCTGGCCTCTTTTAGTTATAAAAGGCACTAATCCCAATCACAAGGGCCCCGCCCTCGCGACCTTATCACCTCCCAAAGGACCCACCTCCACATCCCATCACCTCGGCAGTGAGGTTGCAACTGATGAACTCTGTCTGCAGCGACACACAAGCTCGGACCACGGCACTGCACCCCCGACTCCCTTCTAGAACGCTCGGACCAAGGAGGGTCCCTTCAGTGACACGGGAGGCTGGCGAGCCCGGCTGTCTAGCTCAGCCCGTGAGAAGCTGCTCCCTGTAGAAGCCGGCTCCTTCTCCAGTGCTTTCATTCCATCCGTGTTCCTGTCTTCTCTGTTGTCTTTCTTCTCTGCTTTTCCTGCCTCTGCTTCTTCAGAAACCTCATTACAAATCCCACTGCAGGTCCTGGGACGAAGGCCACGCGGGCTTGGATGCTGGGCTGGTGCGGACACTGGAGGTGCTTGAGTTCCTTGACCTCCTGTCTTAAAGAACCACAGTTAAATCCCCTCCCATCAGCTCTCTCCTGTGTTGGGATAATTTTTAAAACATACTGTAAAAAAATAAAAACAGAAAGTTCTTAAACATCTTCGCCAAACGTGAGGGATGAATCTAAAAGTGGCCAAACAAAATGATGCTCTAATAAATCCAGACAAGAAAGGTCTCACCTACTCTCACACTGAGTGCTCTTCTTCAGGGCTGCTTTCCCAAGCAGCCCCGGGCCCCCCAGAGCTGGAGGGGTTTACTGTGCACAGGATTCCCTGCGTCATACGCCATAAGTGTCCAAGGTCTCACCTTGGAGGTGTGCAGGAAGCATTATCTGCCCTTACATCAAGGTCCTGGAAAGGCAAGGCGCTAGGTCCAAGTCCTGCTTTGGAATCACGGAAGGTTCCATGGTCGGGGCCAGAACGCTCCTACCACCTCCTCCTTTACAGGTGAGACCCAGCGCCTCCGGCTGTGCCCTCCCAGAATTGCCTGCGCTCAGTGCTATAGAGGATAACTGTTTCGAGTGACCACTTATAGTAAGACAATCCTATTTAAAAATCATTGGGTGAGGCGATTAAATTAAAACATTCAATTCATCCAATTAATTTTTTTAGAAATTTGAGTCCCCTTAGCAAACGCTAGTATTAACTGAGCTTCAACCCAGGACACCTTAGCGGACATAGTTTCTGTTGAGCAACAGAATTTAAAATCTGAAGCAAAGCTGACGAACGCACGCCTTTTTCCTTGTTTACTTACCCACCTGGTCCTTCATCCTTGATGATAAATGGGTGGCTTACTGTAAAAGCCGTGTGCCAAATACTTCCTGTCTCCTCCCAGCACTTAATCCTTTGTGGGAGCATGGCGTGACTTTGGTTTTGGTCTTAAAATACATTTTACTGGAGGGCTGAGCTCTGCATTGACCAGCACGGTGAGCAGGCAGGTCGGGCTTGGCGTTTTCCGGTCCCTTTGACGTTTCCGAACTTGGAATGCTGTCTCCTCGGCAACCTGCAGCAGCCACCTATTGAAACCCAGGTCGTCTCTGAAGGCTCAGATTGAAGCAGCTCTCAGTAGTCACCATGCTAGAATTCTCTCTCCCCGGACTCTGAGCGTTGATGACAATCTCACGCACCCACCACAGGGCACCCTGTGTGGGCGTTATCTGCGTGTACGCACGATCCCAACCCACAAAGGGGACTGAAGTCTTTTCTCACAGTACACCTAACTCAGTCTTCTGCACCAGAACGCTCCTGGAGAACCGGGTAACATGCTTTGAAGGTCTGGTCCACACAAAAACACACACGGGCAACAGAGGGGACAGTGAGCACCACTCGGGGGAGCCCAGATGACCTGAGGACACCCCTGACCACCGGGATTGGCGCTCTGCCACCACCACAGCACCAGTCACTGTGTCCCACTCTACCTGTTCCTACAACTTCCACCCAGGAGCCCAAGCCATGTTCTTCCACAAGCTTCGACCACAAGTCTGTGGCAACATGCATGCAAACACACCGGAAGTCGGCTGGGGAACTGTCTCCCTTTGAGTGAATGCCATCAATGCGTTGGAAAAGAGAGACAATGAAGCTCATAGGATGACAAAAGATGAGCTTTATTTTTTTTAAAAAATTTTTTGGGGGGGAAGGTAACTAGATTTATTTATTTACTTATTTATTTTTAGTGCAGGCACTGGGGATTGAACCCAGGGCCTCATGCATGCTAAGCACGCACTCTACCACTGAGCTGTACCCTCTCCCCACAAAATGAGCTGTAAATCTCCATCTGGAATGAGACCTAGTGGCTGGCGGTACCATGCTGGGAGAGTCAAGAGCAAACCAACGAAGGTGACCACTCTTTCGTTGCCAGCTTCTCCATCCAGGACGACAGCCTCCAAGCGAACACGGAAAGGAAAAGCTGCTTAGTACTGGAGTCCAGGGCTGACGGGGGGATGGTGGGAGACACCCATTTAGAATTAGTTCATGTGGGACATGCCCATGGCTGCAGGTGGGACTGCGAGGCTGCTGTCGGAGCTCCAGAGGGATGATGGGCAACAGGAGACCAGGGACTGATGGACACTGCCCTGTGGCCCCAAGAGGAAGTAAAGCAGGTGCTAGAAATTCCAAATGGTAAGTCTAATATAAAACTCTGGCAAAATCTAGAATAATATAGATGGTAAACATTTTGGCTCCCAATAATTGGTTTCTTTTCAACTCTTGAATCAATGAAGTCTCACATCAAACTAACTTCCTCTCCTTGGAGCGACCCACCAAGGAAATAACAGTAAAACAATAGACGATCCTTTAAAGAGACCAGAGGGGTGGGCTGAAGGTTCCAGCTAACACAGTTTACATGATGCGCTAGCCGTGGTTGC